CATTTTATAGATAAGGAAACTGAGGCTGAGAGGTTAAGAGATTTGCCTAGTATCACAGAGCTAAATAGCTGAGGAAGAATTTGAACCCATCTTCCTCACTCCAAATCCAGCATTCTATCTACTGTGTGGACACTGGGCAAATCTCTTATTAATATCAATTATTTTTAACTTCACCATGGTATGAAGAACAATTTCAAGAAAATGTCTACCCAGATATCTAGAAGTAACTGTTATATTGCATAAAGGATTGCATTAAACAAAACAAAACAAACAAATAAATATGTAGCAATGGCAAAACCACTTGATGAAAGTAAGATTATCTTCTTTTTAGTCTTGGCTTAGCATAACTTTAGGCAGGATCCTCAACCCTTCTATCCCTCAGTTTCCTTATATCTAAAATAAGATGACCTCTAAAATATCTTCCAGCTGTGACATTCTATTATTTTGGTGTCATCAAAGTCATTGTTTATCTCCAGATAACCATCAAAGGTCGTCCTGTGGTGTCCCAAATTTAGAGGTTGCTAATTTCACTTCTCCTTGAATAGGTAAAAACAACTGGCTTAAGCAACAAATTAGTAAAAATAATTAATTAACATAGGAAGCTACTAGTCAGTGAGCTTTCTCTCCTTGGTGGTGATACTCCAGGTGAACTCCTTCTTGGCCTTGCCCTGCCCTGCCCTGTCCTGCTCTGTCCTGCTTTCCTCTTTCCCCTGGATGACAAACTCTATAGTGGTGGTTTCATGGTACACTGTCATCTTTGTTCATGTGGCCCATTGTCTTAAGGTCTAAGGTCTTCTTCCCAAATGTTCTAAAAAGTTGATTTTGGGGTGCTTTTTGTGGGACATGCCCAACAAATATTTTGTGGTACATGGGGCATTAGAATTTCTTATAATTGCTCTTTGTCCTACTAACTATTTTTTTTTAATTCACACAACTCTCTACCAGGAATGAAATAGTACTAGTCAAGCAGCAGTAATTTTAAAGTAATAGTAGTAGTAATAGTTTTAAAGAATGTTAAGGTTTTTTGCTTGCCTAAGAAGTATCCAGAAATCTTTGTGAACTGCTGTAAACATCTGTCTTTGGAACCTGGAGTCTTGGGGAGCTGAAGAATTGTTTGATTATAATTTGTCCCTGTGATTGGATTAATTAATATGGGGGTTATATATGATGGAAACTGTTTCTTGGAATAGTAGGAATGTGTCTGTACAGAAGTTATATTAATTGGAACCCAAGAGCTACATGGAGTTAGAGACTTGAGTGGAAAGATAGGAAATAAAGAGGCAAAAGAGGTATGATGCAGTGGAGTGCAAGAACCTCTTTGTGTCCTTGGAATGCCTTTCCCTTTCAGGGTCTACTAGACATCAGATAGAATACTGCACAGCTCAGCCAAGCAGTAATTGTACAGCCCACACTAGCTTTGAATCAGGATCCATTAAAAATAATGGGAAAGACTGACAACATGAGTTTGGGTGTGCAAGGAGGTGTGGCAGGAGAGAGTTAACAGAGAGATGGGTAAGTTTCCCCCCTTTTAATGATAATTAATGTCAGCGCATGCAGCAAGGAGCAGGCTCTGGTCTGTATTCATGGTGCGTTGGAGGGTATTGATTTTTTTATGGAGACACTGTAGCTGAAAATTTTAGAGAGGCATTCATGTCCTTCATTAATATGCAGGTTGGATAGTGGCTAACGATAGTTTAGTTTAAGATAGAAAGAATCTATACCGGCCATTAAAAGAGCTACAGTCTAATGGACATGTCTATTCAGTTTCCTTCTGTTTTTAACATTTCTCCTTGTATTTTTCCTCTTTAAAACAATGCACTACAGTGACCTAAAGTATTTAAGATATAGGGAGGGAATCTTTTTAAGTAAATGTTTTATATTCTCTATATATTGGTAACTTGATTACCTGATTCTTTTGCATTCATATCTCATGCATGCGATTTTTTTGGGCAAAACCTTTTTTTTTTTGGTCTGCTGATTCCTCTATTTTTCAATGCATTTCTTTTCATTGTATCTCTTTTATATGGTCCCAAGCTTCTGACTAAAGTCTGCTTGTCCATTCCTATTCCTAGGGTAGAACAGGGAGCAAAAAAGAGTTGGGAGAAAGGGTTGGGGCTTGAGAGGAACAGGATGACCCGGTGGAAATAAAATTCTTCTTGAATAATGTCTTTTGTAGGGATTCTGTTTTTCCTTGAAGTGTGTACTTGAATTCCCAGAACATCAGGAATATTCAGATCCTTATATGAGTATAAAAATATATTAAAAATTCAAATATAGTGATGCGGTGGGAAGGGAGGCAAAATGGAGAGAATCATCTGTTGGCTTTTTGAATAACTCACTGCACTACTCCTTTCTGTAAACAATCAGAAGATGAATGTGTCTGTTAGTGACATAAAATACTCCTCTTCTAATCAGATAAAAGAAAAAAATTCCCATTTATTTATATTTTACCTAGGTTTTTGTGAAAAGGAGGTCGTAAGGGATCATTCTTACCGAAGGTTTATTGCCAGAAAACTGTGGCAAGGGGCACTGAATGGTTTCTTCCCATTCAGTGAGATGATCTTTACAGTAGGTGACATTGTGCAGCATCAAACTCTCCAGTGTCTGACTTCGGACAATCTGTCTTCTCGTACAAAAAAATGCCCAAAAGACAAAAGACAAACATTAGCATTTTCATTTCGACATTTTTTCCCAATGATATAATATTATAAAACCATTTCCTTCTAGGATATAATGATAAGCTTGTTGTTGTTCAGTCGTTTCAGTCGTGTCTGACTCTTCATAACCCCATTTGGGGTTTTTCTTGGCAAAGATACTAGAATGGTTTGTCATTTCCTTCTCCAGCTCATTTTACAGACGAGGAACTAAGACAAACAGAGTTAAGTGACTTGCCCAGGGCCACATGGTTACTAAGTGTTGGAGGTTGGATTTGAACTCAGGAAGGTGTTTTCCTGACTCCAAGTCCAGCACTTTCTCCACTGTGTCACCTAGCTGCCTATAAATGAGCTTCCTTGGAATCTTTTTTGTCATTTATTTCTTTAGCGTGGATCAGAGGACCTGGGTGCAAATTCTGGCTCTTCAATTTATTAATATTATGACCTATCAACACCTATCCTACTATGTGCAAATAGAGTGCCCCATCAATATCATGTCACTGATCAACTGTTTAGTTTCCTTATTTATAAAATGAGAGGATCATATAGATATAGAACTAAATATAGTATATAGATAGAGATATATAGATAGAGATATATAGATAGAGATATATGGATAGATATAGATAAATACATAGATACAGAACTAGAAAGAACCTTAGGCAACACTTAGTCAACCTAGTTAATTATAGATGAGGTAACTAGAGACTAGAGATTAAATGGCTTCAGGGGCAGCTAGGTGGTACAGTAGATAAAGCACTGACTCTGGAGTCAGGAGGACCTGAGTTCAAATCCCACCTCAGATACTTAATACTTACTAGCTGGGTGACCCTGGGCAAGTCGCTTAACCCCAACTGCCTTGCCACCCCCCAAAAAAAATATTAAATGGTTTCCCCAACTGCCCCCAGGTAGCATTTGACACAGGATTTGTACTTAGATCCTCTGACACTAAACATCTACTTTCTAGCTTTCTACTCATCTAGCTTTCTACTGCTCCACATTGCATTCCGTAGAAGAGCTTTAAAGTCCCTTCTGGTTCTAAATTCTGGGATCTATCCTTTTTTTTTTCTTTTTTTTCAGAACGTAAGGAGCAACAAATGATTTTGAATATCTAGAAGAGAAATGCCCCACTGTGGGGTAATGTTTTAAGAACTTTCATATAGCATCTAAAGCTTTGCAAAGCTCGTTACATAAATTACTGCATTTGAGTCTGAGAGAACAACAGTGAGGTAGAGACTCTATAGATATTAATATCCCCATTTTACAGGTGGGGAAACTGAGGTAGAGAGCGGTTAAATGACTTTTCTATGGTCACATAGCTAGTAAGTGCTGGAGGCAGGATTTGAAGCTAAATCTTTCTGACTCCCAAGCACTCAACCCACTTTAGGACGTTCTACTAAAGGACTCCTAAAGAAACCAAGGGTGGGTGGTACACACGTGTAATCCCTGATATTGAGGAGACTGAGGCTGGTGGATGGATCACTGGAGCTTGGGAGATCTGAATAGAAGTAGGGCTAAAGCTGATCCAGTGTCCATACTAAGCCTGGCACTAGTATGGTGAGTCCCCAGATGCAAAGGGTGACCAGGACACCTAAGGTGGGGGTGAACCAACCTAGATTAGAATCAGAGCTTGTGTGCCAACCAGCGATGGGATTGAGTCTATGAGTGGCTGAGGCCCTTCAATTCATGTGTAAGACAGGAAAACCAAGTCACAAAAAAAAGAAAGAAAGAAAGAGAAAAAAGATAGAATCGATAAAGAAGAGAAACTTTTTTTTTTAATTTACCCACATCCTTCAGGTGAACTTATGAACTAAATCAGATCAAGTCAATTCTGATCACTGATTTTGGTCAACTGGCTACCTTTCTGTCAAGGGACCCTCTTTTCTTTTGCAAGTTTATTTAACTTTTTCCTTCTCCCTTTTTTTGACTGATGAAGGGACTTTGAGGGAAGAGGTCAGGAGAAGGGCAAGGCACGGTAGTTTTAGTTCTTCAAAGGCTATTGCATGGCCTAGAGTCTGACAAGGTCACAATGGATCATTTATGAAGCTTCCTTCATATCACATTAAAGGATCTGAGGTAGGTAATTAAAGTGAGCCTTACCAGTTGGGGTGATTATTATCAATTCAAATATAGATTGACCTTTGGCCAGTTGTTCCCAAGCCCAGTTCCAAAGCCCATTCCCGAGTTTGTTCACCTGTAATCTGGTGGAGCTGCACGGACAGTTAGAGCAGGTTATGTTGGAGCTTCTCCTTTATATTAATAAAACGATATTGTAGTATGCTAGGGGAAATATTAATACTAGAAACAGAGAAACTCTGACCCTATACAAACTCATTATCCTGGTGGCTTCTTGGGTCACCCAGACTTTTTTGCACCTTATGGGCTATGAAAACAGAGAGTAGCTGGATATCCGTAGAAACCATCTGGACATCGTGAATCATCCTGACTGGACAGCTTTGTGGAGGTTATCTTACCTGGACAATATTTTCAGTTAGGTAAGCAGTTATAGTTAATTCTCCAATTTCAAAAAGAAAGGTGATTCCCAGAATGACTGATTTAGGAAGTCAGTTAGTCTGTCAACAAGCATTTATTAAAAGTTTGATATGTGGGTGACAATATTCTTAATCTTAGAAAGATCTGTAAGACTTTAACCAGTTCAAAGATGCAGCTAATGGTAGATAACAATGGCCATGGGTCCAAGTCCAGCTTCTGACTCCTACTGGCTATGTGACCGTGGATGAGTCACTTACCATTGCAGAGCTCCTGGCATCTGTACATTGCAGAGCAGGGGCTGATCTACATTGGTAGAGAGGTTTATTTACTGAGCCTTCTCTACAGCAATGACATTGCAGGCCCACTAAAAACAAAAAAGAAAGAAAGAAAGAAAGAAAGAGTGAGAGAGAGAGAAAGAGACAGAAAGAGAAAGAGAGAGAAAGAGAAAGAAAGAAAGAAAGAAAGAAAGAAAGAAAGAAAGAAAGAAAGAAAGAAAGAAAGAAAGAAAGAAAGAAAGAAAGGAAGGAAGGAAGGAAGGAAGGAAGGAAGGAAGGAAAGAAGGAAGGAAGAAAGAAAGAGACCCCCAAACTCCTACCTAAATAAGCTCAAGTAAATCTACATTTACTAGATCTTCCATTTGGAATTTGTAGGTGACTTCAGTTATGCCCACTTAACTCTGGAATACTTAAAGCACCCAGTGAAGTTGTTATGGTGTGTTTCAGTTGTGTCTGACTCTTTGTGATGCATTTGGAGTTTTCTTAGAAAAGATACTGGAGTGGTTTGCCATTTCCTCCTCCAGCACATTTTTACAGATGAGGAACTGAGGTAAGTGACTTGCCCAGGGTCACACAGCTAGTAAGTATCTGAGGCCAGATTTGAACTCATCTAGATGAGTCTTCCTGACTCCAGGCCCAATACGCTATCCACTGCACCACCTGGCTGCCTATTAAGAGAAGTTCTTACACCCAAATAAGCCTTTCAACAAAGTAAATACTGCATTTTTCAGTTTACAAATTCATCCACATTAAAAAATTCCAAATGCTCCACTACAAACTTAGATTCTTTTGGGTTCACATATTGCAGAAACACATTGGTGGGGTTAAGGTGAGGGCGGTACATAAGGAATCACCACGGAAAGGGTTACTACTCAAGTAGGAAACCTGGGAAGATTCTCAGCAACATTGCAAGGTAATAGCATTAGCAATAGCCCTCATGAAAGGAGGTGGGGTAGACCCACAGGAGAAAGGGTAGTTCCTCTGACAGAAGACAGCTGTGAGACCTTGACATCCCCAAAGAGACAAGCTAGTTTGCGCTCAGGAAACTACCCAGAGGCCCAGCTAGAACTGCCCTGAACAAGAAAAGCGTTATTAAATTGAAATGCATGGAGGGAATTAAACAGTGTGAGAGTAGTGGAAAGCGTACTAGACTTTGAAGCAGCAGGCCTGGCTTCTCCGTCCTGACTTTATCATGTACTAGCTTTGTAACCTTCAGCAAATCACTTAACAGCTCTGGGTCTCTTTACTCCGCTGTAAAATGAAGGCTTAGATTAGATCAATGGTTTCCAAGTTTTTGTTCCCTGAACCTCTTTCAACAACAAAAAAATGCATTTTGAACCTCCAGGGTAATTTGATATACTACTCCTAATATTTTTTATAATTACTTGCTGATTCAGGCAACACTACAGAATTTTTAGCATGAACCCCTTCGACCATCGTGATGAACCCCTTGAGGGATTTGCAAACCAATAAATGAGAACCACTGGATTACATAATTACAGCTCACATTTGTGTCATGCTTTAGAATGTCCAAATTCAGTTCAGTTCAATTCAATGGATTAACTTCTGTCTTTGCATTCCCAGTGCCTGACACATAGTAGACACTAAATGAATGCTTGTTGATTGATCTAATTAAAAAATGAAAAATGCCTGCAAAATGCAAGGCATTGTGGCCTCAAAGACAAAAATAAAGCAGTCCTCCTGTTCAAGGATCTTACGTTCTACTGAGGATGCAACATATATATTTCAGCAAATATACTCTCTATATAAATAATGCAAAGAAATTTCAAGTTGGAGAAAGCACTAAAAAGGTGGGAAGGGAATCAGTAAAGGCTTTGCGTGCGAGGTGGCACCTAAGCTATGTCTTGAAAGAATCTAAAGGTCCTGAGAGATGGAGTTGAGGAGGGGGGAGTGTATTCCAGACCTAAGAGACCAGCTACCCAAAGTCATGAAGGTGCCAAGATAGAATATTGTTAATGTGGATTCCTCAAATGCACATTAAAATGTGAGTTTCTTGAAGGTAGGGGCTGTTTTTGCCTTTTTTTTGTAATCCAAGAATTCAGTGCTGTATCTGGCACATAATAAGCATTGTTGCCTCACTGAATGACTGAATGAGGCACAGACAGGAGGTCAGTTTGACAGAACATAGAGTTAGTGAAGGCAGTATAGTACATGTAGTGATTGACAGAGGTGGGATTTACATCCAGATCTCATCCCATTTACGTGAACTATGCTGCCTCTTAAACGCAGTGGCAGCAGCTACAATGATAGCATCAGTAGCAATGGTAATGGCGATGGTGATGGCAATGAGTCTGGCCCTCTTCTAAAGGAGTGGAATCAATCTGAGATGTATTGGGAAGCAGATGGAAGATGGCATATGACTCTCTGATGTTTCTTCTCCGCTAGTTTCCCCCAGTGTATTTCATAGTGCCAGTTGCCACCTTATTGGTGATTATCTTCTTTAGACACACATTCCAAACGGGCCCATGTTGCTCCCTTTGGACGGTGAGTGCCTATCACTTAGCTGATGCTTAGAACCACAAGCTTTGGAAGACTTAATTACGAGGGCTGGGTGGAAGGCAAGTGTAAGGGGAGGGGATCTAGTTTGTGTATGTGAAACCCTGGACGGGCTGCTGATGGGCCAAGTAAAATTTGCCTGGAACCACAAAATGTTTGACTCCACGTGCCACATTGTGCTGAAGATTGCCAGCTCCAGTTTGAAATGCATTGTTTGAACTGATAATTCATAATAGGGAATCAGTTCTTTTAAGGAAGTATGGTAGGGACCTATATTCAAGTTCTAGCTTGACCATTTATTGACCAGCTCTGTAATCTTGGGCAAGTTACAATCAATCTGAGTTTCTTTTCCTCCACCTGCAAAATTGTGTGGAGTATTTATGTATGATCTTGTGCAAGACTAGGTATGAAATATCATTCTCCAATAGGCCACTAAAGGAATATTTTCTATTGGTAGTGTGGCATCAGCATTAGGTCATTGAAGCAAGAGTGAGGTGAAGATACGGAAGAGACCTTCAAGGTTGCTTTCTCAAATTCTTTGCTTTTACAGTTGGTGCAAATGAGGTCCAGAGAAATCAAGTGAATTTTCTAAGACCACACAGTGGCAGAGTTATGGCTAAACTCCATCTGAGTGTCATGAATCTGTCAGAATGACTATCAAAGGTATTTGAGGTGCACAAAGTTTTAATATGTTGTGGTCTATGCATACAATTTGGACTTACCCTGTTCCATGGATAACTAAGACAATGAAGAAGATGATAAACGTGTGGTGTAAATACCAGAATAACTCGTAGGAGGCCTGTCTAATGATCTCAATTGATGAGGTCATGATCAAAATCAAAACCACAGAGATCACCAGTCCAGTTACACCAGCTGTTGTGGTTAGGACTTCAGTAATTATGTTCTGAAAGAAATACATCTCAATTAGTATGTGTTTTAAAGGTACTTTTCCTAGTTAAGATTGGAAAATAAAGGCCTAAGATATTCTGTGAAAGAAAAAAAAAAGAAAGAAAAGAAGGAAGGAAAAGGGAAAGAAAGGAAGGAAGAGAAAGGAAGGAAGGAAGAAACAAAGAAAGGAAGGAAGGAAAGAAGAAAGGAAGAAATACTCAACAAGCATTGTCAAGCACCTATTTATATATAAGGTACCAGGGATAGGAAGATAAACACCACATTCCTGGTCCTCAAGGAACTTACAGCTTAGTAGGGCACTGAGCCATGTATCTAAATAAGTATAATATACTTTAGGATGTGATGAACGCATAGGAAAATTCAAATAGAGTGGTAAGAGAAATTCAAGATTTTGTTATTTCTTTTTTCCCCTTTCTTTATATCCCCAGCACTTAGAACAGGGCCTGGCACATAGTAAAAACCTAATGAATGCTAGTTTACTGACAGACTGACTGACTGAGGGGCCTTTAGCTTAGGGAATCAGAGAAGCAGTTCCCTTCTCCCTCAACAGCAGGAGAAACCAACTATGGTTGTCAGGCCAAATCAGCTTGTCTGTCTTTTCAAGGTCTGAGAACTAAGACTGGTTTTTACATTTTAAAAATACAATAAAACTTTATTTAAAAAGTTAAAAAAAAAACATTCTTAGCTCCCAGCTTTACAACAACTGTATTTGACCCAAGGACCATAGTTTGTCAACCCCTGCTCCAGGGGAAGGTTTCAGTTCTAATCAGCTAATATCATTTCATAAAGGACTTTCTTCTGCTTGGGGATAGCCTGAGATTTACATTTTTTTTTAGTGAGTGCTTTATTCAAAAATAGCATAAAATAATAGCATAAGCAAGAAAAAAAAGTGGAATGTTTAAACCTTTAAGAGAATAAGCTGTTTTTAAAATCCTAAGCATCTTAGAAAAAAAGTATTATTGTTACTAATTAGCATAATCATGATCAGTATTATTCCCGTTTTATAGATGAGGGAACCAAAGCTAAGAGGCATTAGCTGATTCACCTAAGGTCATGTAGCTGGGGGATATTGGAATTTTGGGTGGGGGGAGGCTAGAGAACCTTGTAGGAGACTTGTTCCTGACTTGTTAAAAGTGATTACTTAGTGGCAGAGCCAAGATTTTTTGAACCCAGGCTTCATATCCAGGATTCTTTCATTAAAATACTTTTGTGTTCCCAGGAGAAAGATAACTTACACAATATGTATGTAGAGATTATTGACAATTTGGGTGATTACATTTTTATCATCCTCTTCCTTCAATAATCAGCCTCTCTGTGCAGTCACAGTTACTTCTAATGGTACCACTGGCCATAAAATTAGCTCATTTCCCCAATATCAGATCTATACCACCAGCAATTCAAATGTATGCCAAAATATGAGGCCTATCAGAGTGGGTCAAGAAAACAATTTGCAAATTGAAAATGAAGACATCCAATTTATATTTCCTGAATTTGGATGATACTTCATAGTTATGAGTCTGACACAAAGTGAAAAAAAAAGTTCTCTTGTGCAAGGTTTTAAAATGTAAAATATTGCATTTTAACAGGTTTATTGCATTTTATACTAGACCTAATCTACTCTCCCTTCCCCCAATAAACTAATTAAGTGCCATTCTATGCTTTTTTTCCTTGCTGTGTACCCTCTCAGCAGTTTATGGTAAAAAAAAATTCACATTTTTAGCTAAAATTGATGTTAGCATTTGGCAGACCCTCTGCTTTGCTCTCTTTTATTAAAAGGTTTTGAAATATAGTTTTCTTGACAGAGAGATCAAAAGAGGAAGATTTCTCAGATGAGAAAAATGGACAAGCACTGAGGGGAACTCACTGTGTCATATTTCCTGATTGGGTTCAGGTAGCTTTCATTTGGGTTGTTGCCAAGGTAAGAAAGCCTGTTTGGCAGCTCCCCAGCATCTTTGGATTGGCCAATGTGATAGCGCTCCATGTTGACCACGTGTGCCACAATGTGAATAGCTAGAGGAAAAGAGGAAAAATGTATAGCTATTCATATAGGCTCCCTTGAATCCTTGCTAAGGTCCCTATGGAATGCTTTTCTGGAACTTAGTCTACCATTTTGGTTTTCTAACCTCTGGGGGAAGAGGAGTGTTCACCATTCTCTGAGGTTCTCTAAATAAATCTTTAGTCACAAAATTAAGAAGCAAAATTAATCTGTTTATTTTTATTTAAAACACTAGTAGAAAAATATATTCCATATAGTATTTTGCAGGGATGATGGTATCATGAAATTATGCAATTAGTAAGAGTTATAGCTAGCTGGAACTGTACCAGGGGCAAGTTTCACTGGATATGGAGTAGGGTGGTACAATGGTGAGGAGGTAAGTCTGCCCCCTAAACCTCACCCCCTTTCACACTGGAAACTGGAGCACAGTGGCTCAAAGAATAGTTCTGAAGGTGCACTTGGTTTAGGAGGAGGCAGCATTTCATCCCTCCTCCTACGTTGGGTCATAGGATCATCATATTATATCAATGCAAGGCTAGAAGGGACCATTAAAGGCCATCTAGCCTAATACCAAGAAGGCAGCTAAGTAGCACAGTAGATAGAGTGCTAGGCCTGGAGTCAGGACTTATCTTTGTGAGTTCAACTCTGGCCTCAGAAACTTCCTAGCTATGTGACCCTGGTCAAGTCACTCAACCCAATAGTTTCCTCATCTGTAAAATGAGCTGGAGAATGAAATGGCAAACCATTTCATCTTTGTTCCAATGGGGTCATGAAGACTCAGACATGACTGAACAAAGGCTAATAATCTCATTTTACAGATGAGGTAACTGAAGTCCCTAAAGGTAAAGAGATTTGGCAAAAATCACACAGGGAGTAAGTGTTACATAAGGAGTAAGCCCAAGGTCACACAGGGAGTCAGTGACAGATTTTGAATATATGAACTCCACCTTGTTTGATTCTAAATTCAGAATTCTTCTTACTGTACCACTCTTACCTTACTTGGTTTTTGTTCTGGTTCAAATCTGTATGCACGTCAAATTGCAGACTAGCTTAGGAACTTCTAACTCTAAATCAACAATTATTTGGGGCAAAGGACTATGATTCAAGCCTAGGTATAGAATTCAAAAGATAGACAGTCTTAGCTTGGGAGCCACTCTGCTTGGCTTTCAGCCTGAGGCTGAGTGTGCTTGTTTATATTTTTTGCTATGAAAAAAGAACCATCAGTCTGGAGAGAGGTTTTCTGGTCTTTACACTTTAATAGTCAGTAACTGAGATGACCAGCACGAACTGGAAAGAGATGAAATCAACTATGAGTTGGTATCAGAGAGAAACTAAGGTTCCATGAGACCAGGGGAGACATGAAAATAGACTAATGGAACACCATTCAGCCTCAGCTTCACTAGACTAATGGCCCATAAAACCTGGAAGAGACTATAGACAATGTGTAGTTGGGGATGTGCCCAGCTGTAGCAGTGTGATGACATAGTCCAACGACATTGTTGGCCTTGAAGTTTCAGGTATAGGAGTTGTTCCTTCACAGGTTTACCCTGGCTAGACATTTCCCCCATGTGTGTGTTTCTCTATGCATGTCCCATTTTTCTCACTGATGATATGTGGGACATACTGTGCTCTAAGTTTTTTAGTGGGAAATGTTTGATTGCTATTTAGGTTATGTTATTACATCAAATTTCTGCTTTGAGCTACTTGTTTCTTATGATTGATTACTAAAAATAAATACAACTGCGGGATTTTTAAAAGTGCATGCATGTGTGTGTGTATGTGTGTGTGTGTGTGTTTGTGTGTTTTAGTGGATTAATTTTCAATGAATACCATGGAGCCAGGTGCATCATATTTGAAATAAGGGATGATGCCCCAGGTGCTACACCAGGAAGAGATCATGCCTTAGTACTGTGATTACCAGCCACCAGCATGTGATAACCCCCTGAAGGACATATGCTAGTGCTTACTTTCATGACTTGACATCTGTTAACAAACTCTCTTTCTTGCCTCTCACCTCTCCCTTGTATCTGTTTGCTCTGCGATTTTCTGAATTTGCCATTTAATCCTATTAACTTTGTCCAGTAACTATGTGGGACATGACCTCTTTCTTTAGGAAGAGTCTTTCTCTAGGCTCCTATTAATTATATGTCCATTCCTGATTCTTCTAAAGGATGGGGAATTCCTATACTTGAAAAAGTTTTGTATACACAGATACATTTACCAAATATATTCCTAATGGACTGAGATATGCCACTCTGCATACCCAGAAAGAGCCTTTTTTTGCATGTATTTAAGGACAAGGCTACACCGCTAACGTTCATGGAAATAGCTGCATTTCAACTTCAAACCAAGAAAATAAGCTCATAGCTTCATCCAGCCTGAGGGCTCTACTTCTAATGCTGTACATTCCTGGCTTGAGAAATCTGTTGGGTAGTCAGCAGTCACAACACAGAGGTGCTGATATACTGATGGATACTCTGAGAGTAGGATACCTGTGAGGGGGCCAGATGTTGTCTACCCCTGGGAAGCAGATTCAAGGGAAAGACCACAGCTGATTCTACCCAGGAGGTGTCTAACCCTCCCACTATATTTTCCTTTTCTCTTCAGGGAAGAGTTAGAACTGCTAGGTAATCCACCAGCCTGTGGTGAGACACTCAATCCGTGCAACAGGAGGAATGTTTTGACATCTCCAATGGCTATAGTGGAGGCCAGGATTGTGTTGGTAAATGTTTAATAACTGGTTATCCACAAAAAAGTATAAGACGTTATTTTAAGTTTAATCTGCATTATTAACATTTTCATTGCTTTCTTTAAAAAAAGACAATTAGCAAAATAATAAATTAAACTCTGATTTATAGGTTGTTTGTTGATATCTGAGTTGTTAATGCTCACAATGAAAATTTAACAATTGACACTTTTAACCCAACTTGAGCTGCTCAAGAACACCCCAATTGGAAGTATTCATTCCTTCCTTCCTTCCTTCCTTCCTTCCTTCCTTCCTTCCTTCCTTC